CCCACTGCGCCCCCCCCCTTGTGCACCGCAGCTGGTTGAACAACAAGATGGTGGCAGGCGCGAAGGACCTGGCCTACAAGCGCATGTTCACGCTTTTCGGCATGCCGGGCAAGGTGGACACGGAGGAGATTTGGGAGTCGATTGGGCAGTACGGGCTCGGCACCAAGCGGACCCTGGAGCAGTACCAGGAGTTCATCGGGGTCAACTTGACCACGCTAGAGGTTGGTGCGGGTGTTACTTGTTTTTTTTTTCGTGCTGAGCTTGCGGTAGGTGTTGCTATTGTTAGTATACCAACAATTAAACAGGCCAGCCGACGGAAATACCTGAGTGTCGGCAGGGCGCGAATGGTCTCGTGTTGCTGATTTTTTGTAAGGCTGATCGTGTTATTTGCATGGTTCTGTCTTTGTGATTTAGCAGCATAAGACATTGAGCGGCCGACGGTCGCGCCAGACCAATTGATACCGTTTTTTTTCTGTGTGTGCTTGGTTGTTTCGAGGCTTCTCTCGTTGTTGAGACTTCCGTACTCGCGTGCTGTAGCCCTGCTCTCTTCTTTCGTAACACTATCAGCGGCAGTAGGATAGGGACGGCAGATGACGGGGTTGTCCTTCCGACATTTTACCTTTCGGTTGTGTTGGTGTATGGCCTGTTTCTCCTCCTTGTTCTGTCTGTGTCTCTTTTGAGTTTTCTATCCATTATTTTCTATCTGTTCTGCTTGCCGTGTCCACCTCTTGTGCCTCATCTGGTGGTTCTCTGCCAGGCACGCCTCACCAAACCCTTGTCGTGCTCCCGTCACAAACCTACCTCACCAAACCCTTCTCCCCTTCCCACCCATCGCTCCTCCCTCTCTCGGCGCGCCGCTCGCCCGAAAACAACATCGAACGTGTGGACACGAAACACAAAACACACCGCACAAACAAAAACAATCGTGGCACCCTTATCAAAAATCAGATCATGGGCTCGAGGTGCGGCACCCTCACGTATGTCCCCTTCGAGGAGACCTGGCCCCCGACAGAGAACAACCTGGCGGGACCCTACTGGGAGCGCCGCCGCGCGGGGCGGGGCATTCATGCCCCGGGCTACACACCCGTCCTCTCGGGCCCGTCCAAGTACGTACGAACGGGCGGATCCTCCCGCGGCGGCAGGCCCGGGGTGGGGTGGGGTAAGGCCTTTTTGAAGAAGTTCAAGCTGTTCTGCGCGTTCGCGTTCACCTTCGCGGCGATAGGGGCGTGCGCCCTGGGGTTCGCGAGCTGCTTCGCGGGGGGGGGCGGCGGGGCGGGGGCACGGCGACGAAAGGGGGCGGGGGGGGGATCCAGGAAGCCGAGAGGGAGGCATCAGTGGGCGAGGCGCGCCGGGATACTGGGGGCGAGAAGTGAAGAATAGAATTTGAGACATAAGGCGGGCGGGCGGGGGGTGTACGTTGTGGTGGGTACATGCACGCGCAGCCGCACCGCCCCACCACCTACGTGTTTTGGTCCGTTATGGGTGTTTCGAGTGCGTTTTAAGTGGGTTGAGATTTTCGTCGATTTGTCGTGCCCAGAAAACGGTGCAGGTGTGGTGGAAGTTTGAAATCTGAGGGCTTACTTTTTTTTGTCGCTCAAGTTTCTTTTCGTTTTTTCGAGTGGGAACGAGTTTTCCCTCTGTATGCATATGACTTCCCGAACGTTCTCCTGAGTTTTGTACCTAGGTGTGTGCCAGTCCGTTTTGTGTCCACCACGCGGAGGCGTACTTTCTGAGTCCGGTCGGATTGGAAGGTCCTGTGCCTTTGCGTGTACGTTGGTTCAATGTTTTGTTTTGATTTTCGTGGTGGAGTATCGTCAGTAGACGTTGCTTTTGTGGGGTTAGCTTTTTATTTTTCCTCTACGGTGCGACGGCTGTTCATCTGACCAACAAACGATTGTTTGCATCTGATGTTGTACAGCAGAACCATTCGAGAGGTACTAGGGTAGGGAGCTGGTTTTCGGGCGAAAGCCAAAGCAGACCCAACCGTAACTAGCCTACAGTATCTGTTCTTCGTTCACGATGGTTCGCGAGAACGTCCATTTTGCATCCGTCCACACGCGGAGGATACTGGTCTTGTTACTGGAAGGAACATGTGCCCTATTAATAACAAAATCAACAAGGAGGGTTTCTGTGACAAAAGCCATTTATGTACACTACACATCGTCCGGGAGAAGACGTTTCTTGCTGTTGTGTTGCATCGGTCGTGAGGTTTTCTGAGCCCATTCTGCGAACTTCGGAGAGCACGCAAAAAATTCCAAACTTCATGAGTCTTGGACTCTTTCCTCAGAGATCGATTCGTTGTGTCATTTTAAGGGAAAATGCGCACACACACACTTCTTGTCAAAATGAGGACCAGAATGATGGTAGCGAAAACAAGGAGGATACTGGTGAAAGTACTCCTAAACGAACTCGAGTACTAGGTAATAGCCTTGGTAGACGGGTGCAGTTTTCTTCTGATGCTGCTGTTTCTGTTTTTGATCCGAAGGATAGCTTAGCCTCCCCCATGCTGCCCCCTCACGGGGTCCCAGTTCATGGTAGATAGAAGTGTTTTGTGTTTTCAACCGCACTAAGACTGACGTCTTTTCATTGGTCAGCCGGTTAGCGCGGTCGATGCTAACAATAAAAACACACACACATCGTCCTCAGCAGATGGAACAAACGTGGCACACCAGATAAACGCCGCAGTTGATAGCTGGCTTGAGGGTCGTCAAGCGTTGCTAGGCGGAGTATCAATTCCGCCGGGTCACCACGGGCGATTTTGGAAACGAAATTCCCTCTGGAACTCTTCTGTCCCTACTGGGATCCCGACAACTGGCATGCCACCTTCAGTAACTGACAGACCAATTTTCGTCAATGGTTGCTGTTCGTCGTTTGTCAAAGAGGACATGCAAAGACCTTCCGGGAAAAGCACTTTGGATTTCGGGAGACTGAGCTCAATCCCTTTTTGGGAGAGACGTTCCTGAATTCCAATCGTTACAGTGGATATGGCTGCATGTTCCTAGCCAAACCTGGTGGAAGATGTGCTTGGAGGTCGTCGACGTATCCGATGAGTTTGACTCCTGGCACTGGTGGCTTGTTGTTGAACTCTTTCATGATATCAAGGAGTCCTACACAGAAGCCAAACCCTCCCAAATTGCAGCCTTGTTGAACTCCGCGCTGTGAAAGAACAACCTCGATCGAACCATCTTCCATTTTGAACAGAAGTTCGCCTTGGTTCGAGCGTAGATGTTCCCGAAGTACTTTCCCAAGTGTGGCGTATGGGTGGCCACTGCTGGCAAGATGGATGATCTGCGCATGCTGTTATAAGCATTTTTACCATCAAAGGAGAAAATGGTGCTGCCTTGCTGGTGGGTGAGGGTTGCTGTGGAAGCCACTATCTCAACTCCTCCTGGAACACCACCTCCGAACTGATTTGCTGCTTCGAAGATGTTCGCAATTCCTCCCTTGTACTGGCGGCAGAAGCTGCCGCTGATGATGCGACGCAAAACCCCTCCAAGTGCGATTTTTTCTCTCCCAGCGCTGAAAGGTTGGCACTGGTGTGTGTGGAGGTTCCAAAAAAAATCCGGAAGCTCGTCTCCGTAGTACAAGACTTTCTGCCGCAATNGTACTGGCGGCAGAAGCTGCCGCTGATGATGCGACGCAAAACCCCTCCAAGTGCGATCGGCCGTTTTTTCTCTCCCAGCGCTGAAAGGTTGGCACTGGTGTGGAGGTTCCAAAAGAAATC